AAATGTATATATATATATATATATATATATTGTCTGTCTTATTTTAGCTAAAACTTTTTAAATATTCAATAAAATTTCGAAAATTTTTTGCGAAATATAAGTAATTAAAGTTGTTCTTTGATACAAGGCATGCGCGGAAAAAAATTTGAAAAACAATTTTCTTAATTTTAGAGGGAATTGTCTAAATTTAATCGTCCAATTGTAATAAAATCAACCTCAGCACTGCGTAAATCATCCATGCCATGTAAAAGAAGCGTTAGACAGGTTAGGATTCATATTCTTTTATAACAACAAAACAAAAAGTAAACATTAGAATAACCAAAACAAAAGTGTAGGCAACTCCATCTATTGGCTCAAAACATAAATTTTCTATATCCAGCCCACTGCAATGCATTGGTTTAACGATGCATTCTATTACAAATAACCATACAAATGTTATACACTTACAAAAAAAACAACATTTAATGAATATTTCAAGCAAAGAATAAACAAATTAATCAATCACTTTCTAATAGGTAAAGTCTTTCAATGGGTCTATTTACAACACTGTTTTTTAATTGGATTCCACTTGACCTTATTCTACCATCTCTGCCTGGAAAAATATCTTCTATTCAACCTAACTTCCACATTAATCTTTTAACATTATCTTCGTGTACAAGTACAACATCACCAATTTTAAAACTTGTAATATTTTTGGGCATTTTATGCATCATAGCAGATCTTAATTCTAGCAAATATTCCTTTTGCCAGTGTTCCAAAAATGTTCTATCATCATAGGCCTATGCTTCAATCTTTTTGTTAATTCTGCTTTTGAAGAGTCTAATTTAGAACTGGAGGATGGTAAAACGGTTAATTGATTACCTATCATAAAATGCGAAGGACTTAAAGGATCCGGTTCATTAATATCGTTATACATATAAGTTATTGATCGAGAGTTAATGACAGCTTCAATCTCTATAAGTACAGTAAGTAATTGCTCAAAAGTTAAGAAAGATTTACGTAATATCCGTTTTAATGCAATTTTAACTGATCTTACCAAACACTCCCCAAAACCATCCCACCAAGGAGCACCTTCGACAATAAACTTCCACTCAATTCCTTGCTTTTCTAAGTACTGTAGAAGTTCGTCATTTTACATTTTGAATAAATATATAATTTCACGATCAGCAGCTTTAAAAGTTTCGGCATTATCTGAATATATTATTTTACTAATGCCCCTGCTTCCAAAAAGCCTTCTTAGAGCCTGAATAAAACTTTCAGCTTTTTAACTAGATACTTACTCTAAGTGAACCCCACGAGTTACAGCACATGTAAACAATGCAATGTAACACTTAGAACCATCCCTTAAATAAAGGGGTCCTGCAAAATCGATGCCTGTTATATTAAACGGTGGAGATTTTTCAATTCTCGCAACACGCAGATTACCTGTTACTTGCTTACCAGAAGTAACACTAAATCTTCTACAAATTTTACATCGATATAAAACAGATTTCACGAATTGTCTACCTTTCACTATCCAAAATTTACTTTTTATTAGCAATAAAGTGTAATTCACACCATGCAAAACCCTTTCATGACAATCCTTAATAATTAACAACACAACAGTCAATATTAGGTATTAGGGCACTTTTCACCAACATCTAATGAGGAATTTACTAAACGACTTTTAATTCTCGGAATCTTATTTTCATCAAGTTTGGGATTCAACTGAAATAGTTTAGAATTGGAATCATCTTCTAAATTATTTTTTAAACAATTAATTTCATTCGCATAGTATTTACATTGAACAGTTCTCATCCAATAATTATTTGATTCACTTACTTCAGTACTCGCAATTGTCCCGTTTTGTTTTACACAAGACCTTAAGTTCTTAATGAATCTGAAAATATAGGATGCTACATGCAATAATTTACGCAAGGTACTAAAGTTCTCAACTTTGAGGTATGTGCCTACCTTCGGAGCACTTTTTTTTAAATATATAAAATTTTATTGCAACACTAATTTTTTTTATTGAAATAGGCAATAAAACTATAAATTTAAACATAATTTAACTGAATTTTTTTTTTTCATTTCAAATTATAGGTCCTTTTTAACAAAATTTTAACAAATATTTGCATTTACGCTAGACCTTCTAAAACACAAACTTGAGTAAAATTAGCTTTCTTTTTACACAGAATTATAGGCCCACGAAAATCTGAACAACTTTCTCGTATTGTGTGCCAATTTGTTCTTCAATTATTGCCTGCTCTTGAAATGACGACGAGCATGTCCTTTAAAATAATGTTCATTTTAATATCCGAAGTCTAATCTGAAATGGCTTGTAATTACAGTCCCTATAGTGAACATGGTTTATAGTGAACTCCCGGATATAGTGAGCAAAATACTCTCCCTTGCTTTACTATGCACATATAATGTAATTTTTGGTGAATATAGTGAATCAAAAGATTAGAGTATAATGAACTTTTAGATTATAATGAACTTTTTTGTCTTCGACTGAATTTTTTTCTCTTTTTTTTGGTAATTTAGAAATTTTTGCATAAAATACATATACCGATTTTTAAAACCATCTATTGAGTGGAATGTAGCCATAACTTTTTTTTCTTGCTTATTTCTTCTATCTCAGTTTCCCATCCCTAAATTCGTACGTAAGACGAATAAAAGTTACACATTTTTTGCTACTACATATTCATTTTTAATCAGTTTTGTATTTTTTTTATTGGACATTCATTTAAATAATGTGTAATAAAAGGGAGCAATTAGGAAAATTAGTTGGAATAGTTTGCGGTACGGATATAGCGAACTCCCGGTTATAGTGAACCGAATATGTATGCATGAATATAGTGAATGTCAACTTAAAATATCCATCCCCAAAATAAAGTCAAATTGCATGTTTTCTACTACATAAATATTAGATTTTAAAACAAAATTATCAATGCTTACATCTGCATTAAAATGTTCGAGGAGGGGGGGACAGCGGTTGCAGAATAAGCAAAAAAATAGGTTATAGTCACCTCTTACAGATATACAGCGTGATTTCATACTTGAAATAAGGCAGTTTATCATTTCCTGTGACATTTTCATACCTTCCGACTCCAACGAGTGTTACTCACTATCATAGGTGTGTATTACAATTATTGAATGGTTATTTGTTTTGTATTGTATGAATGTTTATCAAATTTCACTGAAATCGGTTCAGTAGTTTTAGAAATAATCGACTCTTCATTTCTTACCCCAGTGTATTTCACTGTTTTTAAAAATTATACATGGAAGAAAAGTTAAATGGATCTCAATGAATTGTTTTTTCATCATGAAAAGTTATTATATGGAAAAAGGTTACTCTTTTGCAGACGTTTAGTTACCTCGAATCTACAAAATTTTATCAAAGAAATGGTTTTGATATGTAATCGAAAATTAACATTGGACAGGAAGGTTTAATTGTTCTCTCAAGTCTCAATTTTGATGGTTTACGTTGCGATGGTTCAGTGTGATGGTCCAACATCAATTGATGGTTTCATTACGAGTTCATGGTTTTTGATATGCCAACAAACTTCCATTATTACATGATGGAAAATGCTACTTTATTACTATGATGGTTAACCAGCAAGAGAAGTTAGATTCTCATGGACCAACAATCCATCATGATCCGTGAAGGTCCATAATGGTTCCAACTATTGATTTCCATGATGGTTTGATGGGAATTCTAGTCGGTTCTCATTAATATACCATCAAAACAATTTGTTTGCGTTTTTAATGTTGGACCATCATAAATCAGTCCAAATTCCTACATTGGGATGATGGTTGTTGATGATCGTTCCAACATTTGATATCTAAGAAACTGTGATGGAAATTTCTGATGGTTCAACATGAACAAACCATCAAAACAAGTTGCTGTTCTTATGCTAGACCATCGTAAATCAGTCCGAATTCCTACATTGGGGTGATGCTTACTTATGTTGGTTACCATCGAAACTATAATGGTTCATGATGGAATTACTGATAGTTACCATCAAAACTATAATGGTTCATGATGGAATTATTGATAGTTACCATCAAAACCATAATGGTTCATGATGGAATTATTGATGGTTACCATCAAAAAATTTTACTTGGGTTATCAAACCTGTTTTGTTGTTCATGCTATGTGATTTCACAAATTTCGACAGTATTTCGTTTTTCGTCGGTTAAATACTGATTTGTGACCTCCAATTTGTAGCTATCATTTTTGATTCTCAAATTAAGGGCGATCTTTACAGAACACCTTTTATTTTAGCGTGCTTAAAAGCAGATACTCCTTTGAATGCTCGTGGACAGAAACAAGTTGGAACAGAGTCAACAATGTATGTCTTTACTTGCAATCAAGGATATGAATTGATGGGCGAAAAGTCAGTTCACTGTCAATCGAATGGAAGTTGGAGCTCAACCTCTGCAGTTTGCATAAAAAGTAAGTTCAAAACCAGTTAGATTGTCAGAATATACTTTCTAATAATTTTGTTAACTCTTCATAAAACCAAACTAGTTTTGATGTCATTTTTGACTTCATACAGAAAAAAACTGTTTTGTAATGAAATTCAATGCGAGCCAAGAAGGATAATATTTGAGTATACATGTTGTCGAGGATTAGCTTCAAAGTAATCTACATTTAAAGCTTTTATTGAGGAAATACTACAAGACAAAAACAATTATAACATCTTCCGGAGCTCTCTCCCCGTCTCGTGTGTGAAGGCTTTACTACAGATGGCGCTGCACGCAACATAAATCATTTGTAGTTAAATGGGAAATTCTTCAGAAACATTATGATAAAGTGTCATGTTAATTTGAGCAAACAAATGTTGGATGTCCTTTTAAATATTGGCAAAAAATATTTTTTTAGTGACTATTTAAAATAGTTTAAGAAATGTTCAGAAAATATTGCATATTTTATTAAAGTTTCTTGATTTTTTAAAAATTACATTAAGAAAATTTGTTTATAAATTTAACTAACTTATTATGCATAGATGTTTTATGTGATCTATAAATAAAATTGAAATGTTTTGTGCCTAGGTGCAGAAGTAAACTAGAAGCAAACATAAACTTATTTTAAGAGACATTCCGTTTACATTAATTGCTTCAAAATGTAAAGACAGTCTTGACATACACTTCTGACAAAACTTAAAGAAAATTGTATCACAATATTTGAGTATACTTGGTGGTGTGTGAATACAGCCCCTGTGGGTTTATTGCCTCACTGGGTAACGACATCTTCCTAGATGAAGTTCCTACTGTTAAATAAGAATCTCTAAATTAAGGATTTTTCTGTGGTGTAAGCAGATTATCTCTAGAACTACGAGACCAATTTTAATGAAATTTGATCTGTGCATACATTCATACAATATAAAGCAAATCAAAATTGTAATACACACGCATGATCGTGTGTAACACTCGTTGGAGTCGGAAGGTAAGAAACAGCGGTTGCAGAATAAAAAATAAAAAAGGATTAATAGGAGCTACGGTCCCCTCTTGCAGATATACAGCCTTGCAACGTGATTTCATACTTGAAATAAGGCAGTTTATCATTTCCTGTGGCAATTTCATACTTTCCGACTCCAACGAGTGTTACACACGTTGGAGTCGGAAAGTATGAAGAAGAAATTGCCACAGGAAATGATAAACTGCCTTATTTCAAGTATGAAATCACGTTGCAAGGCTGTATATCTGCAAGAGGGGACCGTAGCTCCTATTAATCCTTTTTTATTTTTTATTCTGCAACCGCTGTTTCTTACCTTCCGACTCCAACGAGTGTTATACCACGATTATGCGTGTGTATTACATTTGTTGAATGGTTATTTGTTTTGTATTGTATCATTGCATGTACACATCAAATTTCATTAAAATCGGTCCTGTAGCTCTAGAGATAAACGATCAAGTCTGCAATTTCTTACACCATCAGTGTAAAAAGCAGAGTTGCCATGCAATTTTACAAAAAAATCCTCCTCAAACCAAAAATGAAAATTCATCAACATTTTGTTGCTCAAAGGTAATACTGAAGGAGGAAGAATTAAATTGCAGAAATTATTAAAAAAATACGAATCGTTCTTTTATACTCGAATTAATACATTCAATGAATTGCACCTAATTACCAAAATCGAGATGTTTTAATGTTCGATATGTGCGATGGATTTAATCTTCTAATATTAATATACGCGACAAATTACGAGCGGGTCTTCTTAGTTTAGTAGGATCCTTCCAAATCTAATTTCAATATGCATTGCATTCATAAAAAATATATTGACCTAGTTTTGGCCTATCTCGTTCCATGAATCGAATTTTAATTCTTTTGTAGCATAATGAATATCGGAACAGTTCTCAAAACTGTTTTTTTTTCATTATTAATATTATTAATATTAATTATTAATATTATTATTAATATAATTATTAACATAGATTCATATACTTATGTAAGTTTGAGAAAACTGGTTATTGTCATAAATATTTTAAACGGTTAGTGCATTACTATGGCAACTGTTGCTATGAATGAACCAGTTAATAAATTCTTAAAAAACTGAATTAAATCTGTATTTTTTAAAAATAATAATAGTAACACAAGATCCTTTTCTTCAGGTTACATGAAATGTTTTAAAAAAGTTTGTCTACATTATTTGTTGTATAGAAATAGTGCTGGATTTTCCAACTTTTGTTTGATAGTATAATTTGTTTTAAAAAAAATATATGTTATTAACATGTGTTACTTTTGTCTCATAGTAGTTTTCAGAAATTTAAGTTTATTTTGTCTCATAGTAGTTTTCAGGAATTTCAGTTTATTTTTGTCTCATAGTAGTTTTCAGGAATTTCAGTTTATTTTTGTCTCATAGTAGTTTTCAGAAATCTCAGTTTATTTTTGTCTCATAGTAGTTTTCAGAAATTTCA